AAAAACAACTCCACAATGTTTCATACCCTGATATATCAGAGTCCCGTAGCTGTGATCATGTCCACATGTGGTGGAATCTTGCTGAGTGGCATTAATTATTGTTGTTGTGTGTTTTTGTGTGCCATCATAATATTGGAGCTTGAATGAGAGCAATGGACAAACATTAAATTTCTTGTTAAACTTGTCAGTAGTGGAAGTGAAATCAAAGACCTGTTTATCTCAGTTTCCGGGATGATGCCATGAAGAAAATGGTAGCGTACAAATGGATTAAACAGTTTTCTGAGGAAAGAGAAAGCGTCACTGATGAAGAGAGTTCAGGGTGGCCCGTGCATGATGAAAACATTGCAAAAACTCGTCAAATTCTGCGCCAAAATTGTTGGCTGACTCTGAGAAACATCGCAGACTAAGTAAATGTCAGTGGAGAAACAGGGAAATCTTACCTGAAAATCTTGGCATGAGAAAAAGTATATGTAAAAGTTGTCCCAAAGGAACTGACTGATGAACAAAAGCAAAGAAGAGATGAAGTTTGGCAAGACCTTTCAGCAACGCAAAACAATGTTTTGAGCCACATTATCACTGGTGATGAAACATGGATGTACCAATCAGATTCTGAAACAAAGCACCAAATTCTTTGCACGAGGGAAGTCCGCCAATTCTCCATGACCAGAAATTTCCATCAGTCCAAATCAAGAGTCAAATGATGTTACTAACCTTTTTTGATACTAGAGGGATTTTTTCATTATGAATTTGTACCAACTGGACAAACAGTTGACCGAGTTCAGTATTTGGAAGTACTGAAAAGGCTGCATGAAAAGGTTGGATGAAAATAACCTGAACTTTTTATCAGCAACTCATGGCTCTTACATCACAACAATGCACCAGCTCACGTGGCACTGTCTGAGAGGGAGTTTTTAAGCCAGTAAACAAATCACTATATTGGAACAGTCTCCCTATTCACCTGATCTGGCCCCAGTGACTTTTTTTATTTGCCCAAAGATAAAAGAAATGGAAAGGAAGGCATTTTGATGACATTCAGGACATCAAGAGTAATATAATGACAGCTCAGATGGCCATTCCAGAAAAAGAGTTCCAAAACTGCTTTGAAGGGAGGACTAGGTGCTGGTGTCAGTGCATAGATTCCCAAGGGGAGTACTTTAAAGGTGACCATAGTGATATTCAGCAATTAGGAATGTCGCACTTTTTCTAAGATGTGTTCAAGAACTTAATAGTTAGACCTCATGTAAGGACTTACATGAAGAATTTTTTACATTTCTCCAAATCAATAGGAAAACAACTACCAGCCCTATTTTCCAAATGGGCAAAAAATTGGTACTTCTCAGAAGGAGATATCCAAACAAGCAAGAAACATACAGAAATGTGTTCAACATAACTACTCATCAGGAAAATGAAAATTAAAACAAAAAGGCATACTGCTCACACCAGAATGGATAAAATAAAAATACCCAGTGTTAATGAGAGTGTATACCAAACTGGGACACTCGGCCACTGTTGATGGCAGTGCAAATGGATTCAACAAACCTATTTGAAAATAGTTTGGCAGTATTTATAAAAACTAAACATATGCTTAGCCTGTTATCCAGCAAATCCACATCTAGTTATATACCCAAAAGAAATGTTTGCATAGTTCAGCCAAATACATGTTCAAAAAATGTTCATAAAATCTTTACTAATAATAGGCAAAAACTTGAAACTACGTAACCATTGACTAACAGAATAAATAATTGTATATTCATGTAGTGGAATGCAAGAACAACAACAAAAATAACCTCCCCATACATGCAACAATATAAATGAACATCACCGTCTTTCTACTGATGAAAAGAAACCAGAAACAATAGCTAGCTCTAGAGATGAAAAGTTGAGGGAAGGTTGCGTTTGCTAGGAAGGGGAAAAACCTTCTAGAGTAGACAGAAATGTTTTACATATTAATATTTAAAAGTTGAGTGAGCCAAGGTTTGTGTACTTCGCTATAAATTAGACTATAAAAATTTCTTTAAAGATTTCTGCTTTATTTCATTACCTACATTGTACTACATACCCACCACAGCCACCACACTCTCAAATTCTAGATGCCCTGAATTCAGTGATCTATTCAATCCCAACTTCCGTGGGAAATCTTTGAGATTCCTCAAAGAACAAAAGGAAGATCTGCTGTTCCATGAAACCATCCGTGACTAGGTATTTACACAAAGAAAAATTTTATCAAAAAGTCATTCTTGGCTGGGCACCTGTGGCTCAAGTGGCTAAGGCGCCAGCCACATACACCTGAGCTGGCGGGTTTGAATCCAGCCCGGGCCTGCCAAACAACAACAATGGGTGCAACCAAAAAATAGCTGGGCATTGTGGCAGGCACCTGTAGTCCCAGCTACTTGGGAGGCTGAGGCAGGAGAATCACTTGAGCCCAGGAGTTGGAGGTTGCTGTGAGCTATGATGCCATAGCACTCCACCCAGGGCAACAGCTTGAGGCTCTGTCAGAAAGAAAGAAAGAAAGAAAGAAAGAAAGAAAGAAAGAAAGAAAGAAAGAAAGGAAGGAAAGAAAGAGAGAGAAAGAAAGAAAGTCATTCTATCCTTCTGTCTGTGCATATTTTGATTTTTGTGTATCTCAAAATTATCGTAATGACCCACAGATGAAGGAACTGGATGAAATGATTCCTAAGCCTCATTCATCACTCTGCACCTGAATATTTATCAGACCACAAGTCACGATTTCAAAGATATGGAATCAACCTAAGTGCCCACCAATACATACATGAATAAAGAAAACACACACACACACACACACACACACACACCATGGGGTACTACTCAGCCACATGAAGAAATGAAATAATGTCTCCTGCAGCAACTTGGGTAGAACTGAAAACTACTATGCTATGTGATGTATCTCAGAAATGGAAAAACAAACACCACATGTTCTCAATAAGTGGGAGCTAAACAATGAGAGTGCACACGATCATAAAGTATTTCAATGGAAATTGGAAACCAAGAAGAGGAGAGGGTGGCAAGAGGATGAGGGATAAAAATGTTATCTGTCGGGTACAATGTACGGTATTCTGCTGATGCAGACACTAAATCTCCTGACTTCAGCTTGGTACAATTCATCTGTGTAATAAAAACTTGAGCCACCTTAATAATTTGAAATTCAGAAAGAAATAAGGTACAATCCTCCCCTATATGCTTATTCTTTTTATTTCACCAACATTGAACAGAATCATTCAAAGGGCAAAATGAAACATTTATCCACACTTCCCTTATTTTCCAATAGAAGAGAACTTTTCCAGAGAAAAGCTCATAGTCAAAATATTTCCCCAGCCTGTCACTTATCATCGCTTCTCAAAGAAAACTTACCACTAATGACAGAATTAGATCAAAACATTGTACTTCTGATCCTTTGTACAAAGCTATGTTTCTCTTTATATAACACTGTGGATTTATTAATGTATCCAGAGATCACCATTGCTTCACCTCATGTCTTGTTATTGGAATATCATGATTATCTGTCATGCCTGTAAATGAAGTAGCAATTCCCTCTCCTAGTAAACTGATGCTGCCCTATTGTGTGCCCCAAACTATCTATAGTTACTTCCTCCAGGCAGCATCATGCAATTGAAATATAATGCAAGCCACCTATATAATTTAAAATTTGATAGCAGATATATATATTTAAAAAACTAAACAGGGAAATTAATTTTAATAATAAACTTAACTTTATTTAGCATCCTATATCAAAATGTTATCATTTTAACATGTAACTAACAAAATATTATCAACAAAATATTTGACATTATGTTTTCATAACATTTGATCATTCTGTGTATTTACTTTGCAGACTTACAGTATGTCTCAGCATGGGTGACATTTGAAGTGCTCAGTAGCTAGACGTGGATAGTGACTTCCATGTGGAATAGGATAGCCCCAAATTACCTTGAACTACAAGCTTTCTCATCAGATCTAAAACCCAAGTTAATCCTTAAAAATGAGACTTGAAAAGCTGTCTCTCTGATCATCTTAAAATAACATACAACATCTCCACTCAGAATTTTTACATCCCTTAAAATCTTATACCTCTCCACTGTAGTTCTTATCCACTGAATAGAGGGATAAAACAAGGCTCCATCCATAAAGCCCAACATACTTCCCACTCACATGCTACAGAAGTCCTCAAACACTGATCTTGTCATTTTGCCAAGACCACCTCAACAAAATGTTTCACCTCCTACGTTCTTGCAAAATGTGATATATTAAAATTATCCTGTGAAAAATGGCATGAAATTACTGTGAATATATTCATAACTGAAATGTGATAGGTCAACTGAAATGTGATAGGTCAACTAACATGTGAAATGAAATCTCCCGAGGGGGAGATGAGGCAAGAAAACATGGCCAAAGGAAAAGAAAGTGGATTGGCATTCAAGCTGGGATTCCAGCTCTAAACCCTGGTACCAGATAGTTTTGTGTTCTTGGGCAACATGCAAATATTTCCGAGTCTCCCAAGTATGATTATATATGGGTCACGATGACAGTTTTGAGACAGACTGTGTTATGGTACATCATTTCCCTTCCAAGAAACACAATCAACAGCGTCCTTTCTGATTTGCCCATGCCAGTTTTGATTTGCTTGGCTTATCGGTGTTGCTGGGAGGGCTCCGTTTGTTTCCATCTGTGCAGATTTTATGTTTCCTGATTTTTGTGTATCTCAAAATTTTCATACTGACCCACATATAAAGGGACTGGATGAAATGGTTCCTAACCCTCATCCTGCGTTGAATATGTTATAACCATGGAAACCTTTTCATAAAATAAAAAAGAGTTGGGGATGAGGGTGGGGCAGAATAAATCCACTCAAAAAAAAAAAATAGAGCTAAAATTTTCTCTACACATAGGACAGAAGGCACCGTGGCTTGGATTCCTCATTTTAAAAGGTTGTAATCATAATAAAAATACAAATTAAAAAATCTTTGAATCTCTTTTCCCCATTTCTAAATTTTTTTCCAACAGAAGATTATTCTGCCCAAGGTTCTCTTCAGGGCAAGTTTGACATCCTTATTCCTCAGGCTATAGATTAAAGGGTTGAACATGGGCACAACGATGGTGTAGAACAGGGAGGACACTTTCCCCTGGTCCAGGGGCAAAATAGAAGGTGGTTTGAGATACATAAAAGCTCCTGACCCAAAGAAAAGGGAAACTGCAATTATATGGGAACTGCAGGTACCAAAGGCTTTGGACCTGCCCTCCCTGGAGCTAATGTGAAGGATGCTGGAAAGAATAAAACCGTAAGAAATAAAAATGGCAACAATGGGCACCCCGATGCCAATAGTCACAACAATGATGACCACCAAGACATTTATGTAAGAGCCGTTGCAGGACAGCTCAAGGAGGGGAAGGATGTCACACATATAATGATTGATAAGGTTGTCCGCACAAAACGTCAGAAACACTATATTTCCTGTATGGGCCACAGCCCCAAAGACCCCCATCCCGTAGACACCTGACAGAAGGAGCAAACACACCCGGGGAGACATGGAGACCGTGTACAGCAGTGGCTTACAGATGGCGACATAGCGGTCGTAGGCCATGGCCGACAGGATGAAAGACTCGGAAAAGACAAAGAAACAGAAGAAGAAGAGCTGAGTCATACACCCTGCATAGGAGACGCTGTTCTTCTCGGAGAGAAAACCCATCAGCATTTTGGGCATAATGGCACCGGAGAAATTAAAATCGATGAAGGACAAGTTGAAGAGGAAGAAGTACATGGGAATGTGCAGGCGAGAGTTCAGCCCAATCAGGGTTATCAGGCCCAGGTTCCCCACCACCGTGACCACATAGAAACCTAGGAACAGGAAGAAGAGGGGCAGCTGGAACCCGGGCTGGTCAGTTAAACCTGAGAGAATAAACTCTGTCACAGAAGAGGAGTTCTCAGCAGCCATTCTCTTTTAAGAGGGTCTACAAAAGAAAAGGAGAAAGTCACTGAGAGAGAGAGAGAATCCTTTCATTCTTGAGAATGACATCTGAACAGATTTTTAAACTTCAAGACAGCCATGTTAATCAGTTTTGGTGTAAGCGTTCCATGTTGTATATCAAATCATCATATTGTATCCCATAAATGTATACCGTTATGATTTAATTAAAAATTAACTTTAAAAAAAGAAAAAAATATTTCCTTATACTTGTCTGTCTTCGCAGGCCCCGCGTGCCTTGAACCACCCCAGTAACTGTCTTGAGGATGAAGTTTGCCTGAAGAGTGGAGAGTGGTGTTACTGAGTCCTCTAGCTGAGCTGGGACAATCGCCCTTGGTCAGGGGAATAAGATCTGGGGCCCTTCTTTGGAGTGATTCTTGAGAAGGAAAAGCCACTTGACCTTGCCCAGACCTCCCACATTGGGTTCTGTACTAGAAAGAGCAGGAAAATGAGGTTATGTTGTCCAGAGTCTTTAGCTGGCATGTTTGTGGAATTATTATATAATAATCATTGATATTATGTAAATTAATTAAGAGCTAAGAAAAAAAGAAGAGAAATACATACTGAATACATCTAAATGCCATGGGGCATTACCAGTACCCCCACTCTATAGGTGAGGACACTGGGCTGAGCAATTTGTACCAAGTCCCAAAGCTTCTGAGTTGCAGCAACAGGTGGACTCCGCCTGGCTGGCTCCCCTGGTTTGAGCTTTGAGCCACTCTGCTGCAGCCCCCAACAGGACAGACAGGGACTCACCCCCTTCTGCTTGGAGCCACAGAGCCATCTCTACTCCCTCTCATCCATCTCTTTCATGGCCCTGCTGAACAGGTAACAACAGTGAGCTCAGACCCCTCTGCTTCGGCTTCTCCACCTTGGGAATCAAAACATCTATTTTATCTTGGTTCTCTTGCTGAGCTGAAGAACATGATCTCTAATTGTGCCTTTGCCCTCAGGCTCCTGCCCAGCTTCCAGGGATGAGACAGCATCCTTTCCTAACTCCATAGATAATAGGAGCCTAAAAAGTTTTATTCCAGATTAGAGACCTCAAGTGAGCTAGTTATAGGCTCCCACAGGGCTATTGCCCAGAGACCATCTTCCCTAAGGAAGAAGAAATATTTGATTTGTTTACACCCTTGGAAATGCTTCACGTGGGTTTTAATGACCTATTATTCTTTCATTCTGGTTACATCTTTTTAAGTATAATTAAGAGCGAAGCTCTGTAGGAAAACATGATTTTTGCTACCTTATATTAAGCACTTACTGTGTACCAAACACTATATCTGATTTGACACCTTCAGAGGGACACCACGGACCCAACAGCAATGCTCAAAGATTTTACCTCGGTCATTTCTCATGACAATCTCATAAATTACACCTGTTAATCTCCATTTTAAAAGAGAGGAGCACACACAGCTTGCAGATTCCATAACCTTGAATCAAAGCCTGCTCTATATAATCTCATATGGGCAAGGGACCTCGGTGAGCTTCCTATGCAATCATGGGCTACTTAATGTATGTCACTGATGGCCAATTCTGTCTCCAGGTACTAGTCCCAGCTCCTCTAAACAGCATGTGTTGTCTCAAAACTCTTCAGGAAGGAATCTTATTAAAATAAGGACTAATAAAGCTTCATGTGGCAACTCGCCTTCTATGTAACCAGGAGCTTCTGTATGTATTAAGGATGATAGATTTCATAGCCATGTAATAAATATTTAGGGAAATGTGAGCTTTAGTGTGCCAGTAGGTTAGATATGTTTTTGGTCCTGGGTTAATAGCAGAAATAGTCTCAGAGAAAATATAAAATTCTGACACAAAAGCAGAAGCCCATCTTCTTCGAGGCCAGTCTAACTAAAAGCACTACAGGCAGGCCTGGGTATGCCTGTGAGGACGTGTGCACACCTCGGTGAGGACCTGCTCATCTTCAGCTCGGTCTCAGCAATGACGACACTTAGCTGTCACTTTGCACTTGGAATTGTTCACACCCCGGAGTGAACAATCTGTTCCAGTGAGTCCTAATCTCTGTCTCAGTCCCTCAGCACAAAAGTTACCAACAGAGAAAAACAATTCATTAAAACCGAATTAAAATGAGTCCATAAGGCAGGTTGTCCTTGAGATCTAAGTGCAAAGAAGATGCCGAGAGTTTTCTGGAACCTCGAAGGGGATTTTGTCCGTTACTCCAGAGACAGTTGCCACGGCAACTTTATTTCCATATGCATCTAAAGCAGGCCTTCTCTAAAGAAAGCCCTTAAACTCCTGTTACCTGATGATGTGCCCTAGTAACAAGCAGCAAGAAAAAAGAAACCCACCACTATTTTGACCTCTTTCCATTTGTGTAGTATTGTATAGCACGGTCAAATTCCAAAACTGGCATCTCTGAGCAATGGTTCCCTTCTTGTATTTATTTCTTAAACCATATTTTATACATGCTACATTACAAAGCATGTAAATATGCACACACACCAAAATATCTCTGCATACATGTCTCATGCACGTGTGTGAGCTCTCAGACTTCGGGTAGATCACCAAGTCAAAAATACGTGGTCCGCAGACAATCGCTAAACTCATTAGCGTCCCAACTTCAGTAAGCAGGACAAACTGGGACAGACAGAAGAGATGGCAGTTGAGAACCCTTCACTGAAACAGCTTCAAAGTGGAGGGAATTAATCAGCAGTTATATGGATTTGCACTACATTTAATGTTAAATTGACTTTAGAAAGTGTTTTCAGCAATGTACAGTAATATGTAAGATGTAGGATGTGTAAGGCATGGTTCATGCCAGAAAAAACATATATTCTAATATTAGAGACATGCCCCATAGTGGCTCTTCTGGCTCAACGCTCGTAGCTCAAGCAGGTAGGGTGCCAGCCACACACACCACAGCTGGCACGTTCAAATTCAGCCCAGGCCCACCAAACAACAATGACAGCTCCAACTACATTAGCTCTTTTTCCTACTTGAGTTCCTTCATATTTCACGTTTACCAGGATTCAGTTCCTAACCTTCCACCCTTTTTCCGCTTCCTCAAATTATTGAAGGGCTCATTTTTTTCATAGCTTCAACAATCCATCTGTATGAAAGGCTCCCAGATTTGTGTCTTTCTTTCTCAATTCCCTGTTAAGTTCCTTTCTGTGTATCCAACGTCTGTTCTGGATATTTCTAAAACGTTGTTCTATAGTCATGCTAAAAGATGAATGCATCCTCTTCTCCCCCTAAGTAGATATCCTCTCAACCATTCTCTTTACTTATTTGGCTATAATCAATAATAAGAAAATAGATTGTAGCATTTATAAAGTTGCTCTAAATTTTGCTTTTTTAGGACTGACATCTATTATCTCTAAAAACTTCTTAGTAGCTGGACCCTCTTCCAGCAAAGACCCACTTAAGTTATGCCCCTCTCTAATTATCTTTGCACCAGGGCCTGGCACATCATTTAGAAAATCATCCCTGCTCTTAGCACAAATGAATACGAGGCTGCAGCTATAGGTACTGTCTGCTCAAAGCCAGCTTCCTGCAGCTACCGTGTTGTCAACCTGCCTATCCTGGGATCACTTCTAGCTGCCACTGTACCCCCAACTCAGCAGCAACATGCCATTCCCATGTGCACCCACAGAGAACACGCTCTCAGATGCCCTGCTGCCTGCCCACAGGGACTCTGCCTCAAAGGGCTGCTCCTGGATTCGCCACAGCCTACCCCCCACCCAAACTGACCTAATGATCAAGTTATAGCTACCCCAGCACCACTACCACCAATAATCATGTTTTCAGCTGCAACCTTCCCCTTTTGTTGATGTCTCGGGCATTTAGCCAGGAGTTCTCCAGTGAATTAACTCAGTGCAACAGAGAATCTCACCACCTTATACCACTCTTTCTCCAGGTTTTGGAATAAAACAGCTCTCAGCACACAAATCCCTCATTGACTACATTTCCTAATTTGAGACTGGGGTGAGTCACCCAACAGCCAGACTAAGTGTACGCTTAGGGCCACAGCTCAGTGGGTGGCTTTGAAGAGTGTCTCTAAAATTTTACAATGAAAATAACAACAAAATTCTAGAGAGAAGCTACTTTAATTTTGGCATACGTGCAAGTTTTGATGTTATATCAAAAAGTAAATCTTCTATTTTGAATTTCATAGGAGTGGCCTCTGAAGTCCTGATCAGGCCCTGCTTTAGACAAATCATTTATCCTGAGACCTCTTTACTCCCCACCTCCAGGGATATTGATTGCAGCACCTAAGTAAAGTGCCTGACCATGCCTACCACACAAGAGGTGCTGGATAATTACCACTCCCTTCTCTTCTTTCTCCACTTCACTTGGTTTTTCTCCACAAACTCAAGACACACAAACATAAACAAACATGTATATCTATTGTTTTAGATTCTAACTCAGCTGCATAACCTTTATTAAAGGGAATATGAAAACTGGGGTTTCTGATTCTCTCTCCTGGCTGTGCTATTGGCTAAAAACACTTCCCAGGAGCAGTTCCTCAGTCTCACCACTGCCTCTTTCTTCAACCATATGATGGAGATAAGCATTGCTCTCCCTCAAAACTCACTTCTTCCCTGCATCATCCTCTCCCACACTCTGCTATTCCAGAATTCCAGGCAGAAAACCACCTATAAGGGCCAGCTATCCTAGTAGGAAGGCCTCCTTGTCCAATTACAGGCACTTTGCCAAAACTCTAGGGCGGCATAGAAAGCCAGTTGCTGACCTGCCTGGGAATCAAGGGAAATCTTTGAGAGGGAAATAACTACCAGGCCAGAAGGTTAAGTCAGAACATTTGGCTGACTGGAAGCAAACAGAGAGTGCTGTCCCCTGTCACACTCAGTAGGATTGTGGCCCGGCAGGTTCCAACCCAGCAAACAGGGGTATGGAAGAAGGACAGCTGCAGATAATCAGAGAGTTGACAAAGAAGTGCCCTGGAGAGAGGCCTAGATGGCTACTCTCCAAGTTCCTCCTACTCCCCTGCTCTA